TGGTTGCAAATTATGGAATCCAGTCAAGAGCTCACTTGGCTGTGTAATGAACCACCCAAACTTAGCAGCTTTAAAAACCAACAGTTGTGTAGTCTGGGCAGTGCTCAGCAGGGCTAGCTCATTTTTCTCTCTCAGGGAGCGCCTGCTCCCTTAGGCAGCACTCAGCCATGCAGTGTCCAGAACAGTGGCACCTTGCCCTCTGCTGCTCAGGCCACACAGGGTGAAGAATGACCGGCTTGAGCCTCCTCATTGCTTCTGAAGGGTCACTCACTGCTGGCCAAGACAGCACCCAGTGGGGAGGCCCTGAGGCCCAGCCCTGTGAGGAGTCCTGAAGGAGAGCAAGTGTCTGTCTTGGGTGGGAGGGAGGGGGACAGAGAGAGGGGATGTGTGCCCACAGGGGCTAAGTGAGGCAGCTGGGGACAGGTGCCCAAAGACATGGAGGACAGCCAGAAGTTACAGGGTCTCAGCTTTGGGGTCTACTTAAGGAACACGTCCAGGTCTGTCCACCTGGCCCATGAGACGGGAGACAGCTAGCTGTCTGGAGGGCGCCGTGGGAGACAGTGCCCTTCAGAGTTCCCCAACTCCAACAGCACAGAAGCTTGCCAGAGAAGGAGGAACTTTGGGAGACAAAAGGAAGAAAACTTGGCCCCAAAACACTGATAATTACCCCTTTCCTGTCTTATTCCTGGAGCTCCTCCAATTGCAGCACAGCCACATGACGTGCAACCCATTTTACAGACCAAAACCCTAAGTTCTGTAGCTCAGAGAAGCCCCTGGGGCGCTGTTGAGTCACTGCTCTGTGGCGGAGGTGCCTTAGAAAAGACTCTCCTGGACTCCCATACTGTTTCCACTAGAGGGCACTCTAGCCTGGCTGCAGAAGGCACCCAATGCCATCCTGGGGGAAAGCTCTCTTCCTCCAGGAAGCCTTCCCAGGTTGATCAACACAAGGTGTGGCTTCCCTGTCTCTTCCCAGCCTGGATTTTTCATTCTCCCAGCAGCTTCCTTCCAAGTACTCAGCAGCCCCAGGGTGTATCCTCCCTGGGGGCCCACAGCCACCACATGTTAACCTAACAGATCTGTGTACCAGGCTTCCCTCCTCTGTTCCATCCCATGACTTGACAGTTTCGCCTCCCTAAAAATCTGCTTCCAAAACACATCTACCCAGGCACCAAATGCTCAACAGAAGATGACTGAGGCTCCTCAGCCAGTCCTGAGGCTGGCCCCAACGAAGCTCTCTTAGGTCATCTCCCAGTCCTTCCCACTTTCTTTATTTTATGTTTGGTTTTGCTTTGGGGCCTTCTAAGCAGGAAGCTGAGCCCATTAGTCTCCAGTCCTGAGCATAGTATCCTTATGAGCCCACAGAAACCCTTCTCTGTTTCATTCATCTGTTCCCTTCATTTCCCATCTCTCCTCTCACTCTCCTCACCAAAGGCACCCATTGTAGCACGTGATGTCATCCCAAATATGTGCTCATTACTGGCAGTAGGTAGCAGTGCTTTTAGTGTGTGTATATTTTAATTAGATAAATGGTACAGTTTTGATATTTTTAACCCAACACTATGTTGTCTGTACATACATCGACTTTGTTGTGCTTAGCTTCCATAATATGCATTTATCATCGTTTGACTCTGTCCAATCTCAGGTCATCTAGGTTGCCTCCAACTTCCTTCTGCTGTAGATAATGCCACGATGACTTGCCTTGTCCTTGCAGGAGAACTGCTCTCAGATGTGGGGCTGGACTTCTCTCAGGGGCCGATTGCTGGGTCACTTCATTGCATGGCCTCCCCACAGACATTTCACTTCTGCAGCCAGCAATTCTACCTCCAGGAGTTATTGGGGGCGTTTTTAGAAGTTAGTGCAGATGTACATGAACATATATTGTTGAATGTTCATCACAGAGTTGTTTGTCATAAATCCATTAGGAAGGGACAAAAAGTTGAAAGGCCTGTGGATAGTAAGGCAAGAAGAAATGACAAAAGTCAGACCATCAGTGGGTCAGAAGCCAGGCAGGCACACAGGCAGGAGGCCTTCAGAAGAACACAGTTATGAATAAGGTCAGGGAAGGAGGCAGGCCTCAGAGGACCAGAACCGCAGGGTGGGCAGTCATCCCCTCAAGCAGGAGCAAGTCAGCCCTAAAGGCCGACCCAGGCGGGCTGGTGAAGGCTGACACAAGGCACAGGCCTTGGCAACTGAACCAGCCTGGGGCTCGGCCAGAGCCTTGGCAGCCTATGGTGAGGAAGGGACCTCATCGCAGCCAGGTGCTCAGGTGGAAGGAAGCAGCCTGGCGGGCTGCTGCTGTCCCTTTGTCAGCTTCCTGTCTAAGTCGGTTTTCAAGGGGCTCACTAAGTTTGTCATTCTCTTTGTTCTGGGCCATTTACAAATAGGTGCTTTAATTAAGGCTTTCTGAGGTAGCCATGACTGCCTTGTAAAAGCTGCTGGGCTGCTTGTGCTCACGCAGGGATGGCACCTCACAGCCCGTGCACACTATCTCTTTGCAAGGCCCTGCTGGCTGCATGTAACCAAGACCAGTCACCTTGTTAGTAGTGAGAGGGTTGGAGGGGGCGCCTCCTATCACCAGGCATTCGATTACCCCTTCCAACACCCAGCAAGGCATGGGTTGCCATTCATATTTCACAGGTAACAAAACTAGAGAAACATAAGTTGTCCCAGGTCCCAAGCTAGTAAGTGGCAGAGTTGGTCTCAAAACCCAGCTTTTTATCTCCATTGTCCATGCTTCCATCATCTCCAATCAGGACAGGGGCCGGGGCACACTCACGGTTCCCCCGGAAACCAAGGAGGTGGATGTGTCTACACAGAGACCCTCAGTGAAGGGTATCACTTAATAATCCAGCTCACTGCATTGAGAAGTGAGTGGAGTCAGAGGATGGGGCACAATGGCCATTGCAGTGATAGAGAAGTTTTTATGAAGAATTCACCGCCTTGCATCCCCCAGCATTTTATCAAGAAATAAATCCTTGGGCATGGATTGAGAGCCTTCCAAGTGCTCACTAGTTCCAATGTGGATTGAGCCAAGTGGAGAGAAAGACTTGGTTCTTTCTTGAATGTCTGGCAGACATTTGACCCAGAAAAAGGCTTAACATGGAAGTATCCACCAGCCACACCTCCCAGAGAAGTGCTCCTGAAATCCTACCAATCATTCAGCTGGAAACAGCCACCCCTAGCCCCCAGGCCTTGCCTCCTTGTGTGCCTCATATCAGAAGCCCCGCCTAGCCCAAAGCCCATGCCCCACACCCACAGAGTTCCCACCCCAGAAACAAGAGTCTGTGCAAATCTATCCACAGGGCCCAAGAGGAAGACTGGGAGTGTCCTTTCTTTAGAATGCATGCAGAAGTTGCCCAGCTCCCTGACAGATTTCCATGGCACCATCACCCGTCCTCCCAGAAAACAGAGGTACTCCCTCACTCTGGGATATAACAGGCCACTCGCCCTGAGAGGGACGAGGCAGGCCCTGGTGAGGCCCTGAGAGGATGCATGAAGGGCTATTTTTAGGCCAGACGGGGTCAGCGTTTGGTCACGGCTGGTCAGGAAACAGGCCCATTGGAGGAGTCATCCTTAGGTTCAAAGGCAGTCAAGACACGTGTGCTTGGAAGGGTTTATGGGCTCAGATACTTGGGTTCAGGGAACCTCCTGGCTTGGTGCCACTGTCCACCCACCCATCACAGTCTAAGCCCAAACAGAAGAGGGGAGTTTGGCTGAGGGACAGCCACATGAACCCCCTCCTCCTCTCACCCAATGAGTCCTGTGAGGGGAGGAAGTGATGCCATTTTAGGACCCTGGTGACCTCCCCCACCCCATTTCCAGCACCTTTCACCCTTCCTGATGAGTGTGTGCATACCAGTATTCATTGCTCAACTTCCCTGCTGAGAACTCAAGGATTCTCATACCCCACATCATACCCCAACTCAGCCTTGCACCCCATATTTATGCCACCCTTTCCTACCTCCAAACAGCTCAGGTCTCGCTGGATTCCAGGAATTCAGCAAGTGTCTCCTGCATAGTTGGAACTCAATAAGAATTTACTGAATGAATGAGGAATGACTGATTACACAGTCTAGTCTCCAAATCAGAACTGGACTCCTTTCTTGTCTCCTCCCAATCCTATCCCCATCCCACCCCCGTCCTCCTTAAAGCCACCTCCAAGAAGCCTTCCCTGATTACGCCCTGTCGCTCTGGGGTATTCCACACTCCCACTCCTAAACCTATCCCACTGGCAACGATGCCCAGAACTCTGAAGAATGGCGCTGGTTTCCTTCTGAACTCTGAGTCAGTGTCTCCCATGTCCCAGCTGGAATCCATGGCTTCGGGCTTCCTAGGAATTCCTCAAAGTACAGAGGCCATGCTCCCTCCCAAACCTCTACCCCAATCCTCCTCCCTGACTGTGCTCTAGAAAGGAACAGATTAGGAGAGGCTCATATTGACACTGAAGAGAGGGCTAGTCTTAGAGCAAGAGGGAAGGCAAAGAGCCTAGAACAAGAGGTTGTTTGGGACAAGGCCCCTCCTTGGGACAGACCAGCTGCTCCACCCGAGGCCAGGTCAGAGGGCCAGGGCCCATAGCACAGCTGAGCCCACTCCAGGAAAGGGTTTGGGAAGCAGGCTCCCCCCAGGCCACTGCACCCATTCTCTGCATCGGAGCGTGGAGTCCAACTGATGCTTCCAGGAGCCCTTCTCCCTTCTCCACTTCTCCACATCCTCATGGGCGGGGAGAGGCCTTGAGGAAGCTTGTAAAGGGCTTTGAAGATGAAACAGGCCAGTGGCTGGGGATTGTTGACACAGCTACACTGAGGAGGCAAGCGGGGTTTGCTCTTAAGAGCCCGGGATGATGCCAAGCCAATAAAATGCAGCTATTGTCTCTTTGCTGTCCCTTTTAATGCCAGCTGCCCCTGGTGCATAAAAGGGCCTGCCACAACCCAGGGAGCACAGGCCTTTGGCTCCATTCCCTGCCAGCTTCTCCACTCTTCGGATACCTCCCTATCTCCAGCATGACCTGTGGATTCGGCTCCGTGGGCTGTGGATTTGGCCCCAGGAACTTCAGCTGCGCCTCCGCCTGCGGGCCCCGGCCCGGCCGCTGCTGCATCACCG